CTTCTTTCTTGTTCTGCAATCTGATTGGCTGAGAGGAGTGCAATATTCTAGTGATAACAGCACTTCAACCGCTTCACCGTTTGTATCACTCCGCTTCCAGTATTTCTCACAGCGAGTCTCATGGCGGACACCCAAATCCAATATAATTTAAAAATAATACTGTTTTTGTGTCACGGAACGTAGTTTTAAGAGTTTTTTTAGGCGAGAATGTACTTGCTTAGTCTTTAAATAATAAAGATAACATCTATTTGAACATTAGCTTCGATGTTTTTCGGAGATGTGAGCTCCAGGGCGTCAGCGGCCGTTCAGCGCTCATGAACCCGCCGAGAGCAGCCTCACCTCGGCCAGATCTTCTGGAAATCACCGCTGGCTCTGATGTCTCTACTGTGGTTAAACATGCGATATAATTCGTTTTGGGTAATTCTTTGGTCTCATTAATCTGTTATTTGATCCAGAGCAAATAGTTTTGGCTGAGGGAAAAATCTCATAACGTTATATTTTATGTAACTTTAATGCTGTATTTCAGAGCGCTGCCTTTGTATTTTTGACTGTAATATGTCTAGAAGCTTTTATGATGGCTGTTATTGTTTTTTAATAAATATTATTATTCAATAAATAATATTTTATATAAATAATAGTATTTAATTATAGCATTTAGTTTTGTGTGTGATCGTGATGGTGATTTTAGTAACGTTGTTCCGCCATTAGATGGAGACAAGAGTCTGCTTTAAAGACTTTTATATCGAAAGAGACTGAAACAGGGTTGTAAACAAGAAAGTTATTTTTACTTTCTACAACAGCTTATAAGACGCAGCCAACAAATGCAGTGAGCAGCGCTGTCATCAGAAATCCCCTTTAACAGATGATAGGACAGTACGACAAAATTTAAACTTATTTGCTTTCAGTTACTTGTCAAGGCAACATTTATCATTTTCATTTAGTTTAAGTTCAAGTACTAAAAAAAAAACTAAAACTAAAACCGAAATATAAATGTATTAAAAAACCCGATATAAACAAATGTTCTTAAAAAATCCCCAAAACTAATAAAATATAGCAAAATGTAAACTTATTTGATTTAATTTAGTTGCCCAGGCAACATTGATCATTTTCATTTCATAAGTTGAAGTATTAAAAATTACTAAAACTGAAATAGAAAATGAATAGCAGAAACTGACATATTAAAAAAATTAATAAAATGAACATAACATTTTGAATGAATTTTATTTCAGGCAAGATTTATCATTTTCATTTTTATAAGTTGAAGTATTAAAATGAGTAAAACTGAAATAAAAATTAACAAAAGAAACTAAATAGACATATTTCTAAAATATTCCAAAAATTAATAAAACAAAATTTGTAATTATTTTATTTGTGTTTCACTCAGAAAAAAATGGATTGCATTTTAGAGAATTCTGTGAAGCCTTGATTATATTCAGATATTTTTATATTTGTGTGGAAATGTATGTGGATGTGGAAAAGTAGAATATGGAAAAAATACAGTTTTGGCAAACATGAAAGCAGGATGATGCATGGTATTCAACAAGACAATGGGCAGAGAAATCACAATTGAATACAGTAAAATCAGAGTTTTCTCCAATAAAAATATACAAAAATAATGTGAAAAACCAAAGGCCTCAAATATATATGCTGTAAAAATGATTTTTTGACATTTTAAATAAAGCAAAGATTATTTATTTATCCAGTAAATACTATTTCAGTCTTTCTACTTCAAAATTTCACATTTAATTCAGTGTTACTTGCCGATTCTTTGTAATTATTTAAATATTTTATTAAATTATTAAATTATTATAAAAAAAACTTAACATAACTTAAACATATTTTATTTCAGTCAGTTGTCAAGGCAACATTTCTAAGTTTCATTTAGTGAAAGATGAAGTATTAAAAATACTAAAACTGAAATAAAAATTAACAGAAAAATTATATAGACAAATAAAATACTACAAACTTAAACTTATTTTATTTCATGTCTAATTTTCCATTTAGTTTAAATCGAGTTACTAAAAAACCAAATAAACTAACAAACGTAAACATTTCTCATATTCAATTAGTTTAAGTTGAAGCGCTCAAACTAAAACCTATACCAAAAAAAATAAAAAAATAAATAAAAAACTATATAGACATAATAACAAAAACTAAAAACTAATAAAATATAACAAACTTTGTCGTTGCCAATACAATGTCTAATTTTAATTTAGTTTAAACTGAAAACAACAACAAACAACTAATAAAATATAACAAACTTAAACATTTCTCATTTTCATTTAGTTTAAGTTAAAGCGCTCAAACTAAAACCTATATAGACATAATAACAAAAACGAAAAACGAATAAAATATAACAAACTAAGACTTATTTAACTTAGTTGCCAGTGCAATGTTTAATTTTCATTTAGTTTAAACTAGGGCTGTCATCGCTAACGCATTAACGTATGCGATTCATTTTACAATCCTTAACGCGTTAAAATAATTAAAATGCAATTAACGCAAAATTACTGAATCACAATTTCTATTCTAACCCTTTAACCCAATTTTGCGTCTCTGGTTGCGATCAGATCATTATAAGCTGCTAAACTCCGGGAAAGTTTTCAGTCCAATGATCCAGTAAGCGAATGCATTCAAACAATCTGTCCAAAACAGTGCTAATATAACGCAAACCAGGCTGATTACATCAGAGATTGCAGAGAGAACAGAGACTCACGTTGCGTTTTCAGTAAATTATTCATTCATTCCAGTGTGTTTCGCTTTAAAACACGAGCTCTGTCATATTCTGTGATTGTCTCTGAAGAGCGCTCGCTGTGTCGCGTCACACGCGCTGTGTGAAGTACAGACTGAACAGATTGTCAACACATAACGCATTAACGTATGCGATTCATTTTACAATCCTTAACGCGTTAAAATAATTAAAATGCAATTAACGCAAAATTACTGAATCACAATTTCTATTCTAACCCTTTAACCCAATTTTGCGTCTCTGGTTGCGATCAGATCATTATAAGCTGCTAAACTCCGGGAAAGTTTTCAGTCCAATGATCCAGTAAGCGAATGCATTCAAACAATCTGTCCAAAACAGTGCTAATATAACGCAAACCAGGCTGATTACATCAGAGATTGCAGAGAGAACAGAGACTCACGTTGCGTTTTCAGTAAATTATTCATTCATTCCAGTGTGTTTCGCTTTAAAACACGAGCTCTGTCATATTCTGTGATTGTCTCTGAAGAGCGCTCGCTGTGTGAAGTACAGACTGAACAGATTGTCAACACATCCCACCGCTGTAAGGCCAGATGAGACGCAAACTACGTTTTCTCGACTGGTCAGTCTCGCTAGTAAAGTTTTGATGGATGAAGACTGCAATCAAGGTAAAGACGAGACGATTGCGGTGGCGTACAGGAGTCGTACAGTAAGCACGCGTCCGTTATAATGCGTGTATGAGTGCTCTCGACGCACTGATCACACATTGAATTTATGCACAGGCACAGACATTTCCGTACATTCACGTTGTTTCCACACACATTCGCGATAATGTTTTGATTTGTCATGTGTATGTTGCTGTGTTTAGTTTTTCTGAATGGATCCGTGTACTGTAGTAGATATATGCAGCCAGCAGGCGATTGGTTTAGGGTTTTTTTGGCATCTCCATGTGGTCCTGTTCGGTATCGCAACTTGGCTTTTTGGTGCTCTTTGGTGTTGCACTGTACACATACTATACAATGCGAGGGATTTTTTTTCTTTCATATATGCTTATATGAGCTCCTTATATAATTTAATTATTTTGTGTCCTTTTATGGAAAGTCATCTAAATTTATCTTGAAAAAAGCTTGCAGAAAATACAGATGCTTGAGAATCACCCTTCAATATTTTGGTTTACTTTGCTGGATATAGTCACGTTGGGTGGCCAAACGCGCCGTGATTCTGTTTCGCTCAGGTTTTGAATGCCGTTCATTGGCTGATATCTGAATGTCCCTTGAAATTGTAATTGCGATTATTAATTACGATTATCACATTTGACATTGAATGATGTTTATACCAGTGTTTGAAGCAACCGCATGTCGTATTTTTAAATAAAAATAAACAAGCTGAAAACACTCTAACTGAAAAACCTTTATTGCTTTTCTATAGTATTAAGCCTCAAATGTCAAATATACATCGGATTGGTTTCTTCTTTAAATAAGAAAAAAGTTAAAATATGCATGATATATTATAATGTTTTACTAACACTAAAATTAAAACAATGGAGAGATAACATTAAGAAAACTTGTAGAAAGAGAAGAATGTAGAAAGAAAAAAAAAACATCTTTAGCACGCAGAATAACATAAGTGGACTTTCAACGATTAATTGCTAGTATTAAGCCTCAAATGTCAAATATACATCGGATTGGTTTCTTCTTTAAATAAGAAAAAAGTTAAAATATGCATGATATATTATAATGTTTTACTAACACTAAAATTAAAACAATGGAGAGATAACATTAAGAAAACTTGTAGAAAGAGAAGAATGTAGAAAGAAGAAAAAACATCTTAAGCACGTAGAATAACATAAGTGGACTTTGAACGATTAATTGCCGCTTTGAACGATTACGTAATTGTGGCATCTGTAATCGCGATCAGAAATTCGATTAATTGTGCATCCCTACTACAGAGGCGACCTGCCATTGACTTCTGTTGTTTTTAAATAAAACTATTTGTTTGCTCCAGTCTGACCCCAAACTTTTGCCATTTTTAGATTTATAAAACATTAGAATACTGCTTACTGAATTTAATTGCTTTATACAATTTTTTTAAACTATGTGAAACAGCATGCACTATGAAAAGATTTCAAATTTTAAAAATGCTACATTGTTGTCACATGACCTCGCTACATTGCATGCTTAATTCTTCTCGAAAATATATAGTGCTATTTTGTATTTTAGCGCAATTTAAGGGTAAAGATGTGTTTACTTCTGGCAGATTGCCAAAATAACGAGTCAAGAAAAATGAACAATTGCAGTTGATATTACAAACACTGAAAACTGAAGAGAAACAACATCATACCAGGATTATTACAGTCAAATAAAACTAAAACCATAAAAATATTTTTATTCAAAATAAAATTTGACTGACATAAAATTTGATATTTAAAAAAGCCCTTGAACTTATTTTATTTTAGCTAGTTGCCAAGACAACATTTCAATTTTTTTATTTAGTGTAATGTGATATACTAAAATAACTAAAACAGAAATAAAAATTAATAAAAACAATACAGTAATATATCAAAATAACAACAAAATTACTGAAACTTGAACTAAAATTAAAATAGACACAGAAAATATAATTCAGTTTGTTTATTTAATTTCAAGTAACAAAAATTGAGTTTTTTTAATGGTTTAATTTTAGTTTTAATTATAATAAACCTGTATCAGCTCATCCAGAAAAAAATGACAAACCACACAGTATAAAATAAAATAAAAAAACCTTGCTACATGTACTACGTTAAGCTAACTGAGACTTGTTATAGCACTTGCATATCATTGCTCTCTTGTTGATTTTGATTGCTTCCATTGTCCTCATTTGTCAAACAAGCGTCTGCTAAATGACTAAATGTAATGTACATGTACTACCTATTGCAGAAATAGTATGCTAACACTTATACAGACACAAACCTGAACTCCCTTCTCGCCCTTGGGTCCTGCTTCACCAGGAAGCCCAGGAGATCCCTGGGGTGGGGGGAAAAATGAAAAGATTGTATTTTAATTTCATTATGCAAGCAGACACTTCAGTGTGACGTTCCTCTGGCCCAGAGACGTGTGGCCAGAGTCCAAAATTAACCAGAGGAAAAAACTGCAAACATTGGCTTAGCCTTAGGCACATCAAATTTTCCGGTAACTTAATTGGAAAAGTTATGCAACAAAAAGCTCTGCTCCAAATCCTTGTGAGCCCCTAGCTAGACAGCATTTTTAGGCATCATAGGGTGCAACGTCTGATGCAAAGACATGCATCAAACACATACAACATGCTAAGGTCGAACTTTGTTGTCAGATGAATTTCCAGTGCAGTATTTGCATGATGCACTGGCTGCTGTCTATGTAGGCAGACAGCAGCAGTTTTGGATCAGAGCTGCAGTGTTGGTCAAACATCAGACTTACAGGAGATCCCTGCTGACCAATCGCTCCACGGGCGCCTGTGACCCCTACGTGACCCTAAAACACACACACACACACATTACTGCAGCATTGACATAACAAATATGAATATGAGTGTCGACTGTTTGTGATGAAAACAGGCCTACAGTGCTGCAGGATCCAGAACAGTTCAATCTAGATCACAGAAAACATCTTAAAAACAATCAGCAAAAGAACAAAACCGGAGTCTCCAGTGCTCAGAAAAGACGCTGTTATGCTGTTGCTAAGGTATTTCGAGTAATTTTTTATCATGTTGCTGTGTGGTTGCTACAGTGTTGCTATGCAGTTTCTCATCATGTTGCTGTGGAGTTGCTAGGGTGTTTCTATGTGGTTTCCAAGGTGCTTGAGTGGTTTTATCATGTTGCTGAGTGGTTGCTAGGGTGTTGCTATGCAGTTTCTAAACATGTTGCTTTGTGGTTGCTATGGAGTTTCTAATCATGTTGCTTTGTGGTTGCTATGAAGTTTCTGATCATGTTGCTGTGGAGTTGCTAGGGTGTTGCTATGCAGTTTCCAAGGTGCTTGAGTGGTTTTATCATTTTGCTGTGGTTGCTAGGGTGTTGCTATGCAGTTTCTCATCATGTTGCTGTGTGGTTGCTAGAGTGTTGCTATGCAGTTTCTGAGGTGTTCCGAGTGGATTTTATCATGTTGCTATGTGGTTGCTAGGGTGTTGCTATGCAGTTTCTGATCATGTTGCAGTGGAATTGCTAGGGTGTTTCTATGTAGTTTCCAAGGTGCTTGAGTGGTTTTATCATGTTGCTGAGTGGTTGCTAGGGTGTTGCTGTGCAGTTTATGAGGTGTTCTGAGTGGTAGTTAAGCTAGTTTGTGAAGAGGAATGATTTTTACAAAGCATGAAATTCCTCCTTACAGAGAGACTAACCTGATATCCATCATCTCCTGGTTCCCCACGTTCACCTTTCTCTCCCGAAGAGCCCTATATGCACACAAACATTGATATGTTGTCTTACTTCTTCAATTATGTGATGTAAATATCACCACCTCACCACTTTATTTAGTGATTTCAGTCAAGGTATTGGACAAAAACAGGAAGTTAAAGGAAATTAAGACATACTGGTTCACCTAAGGGCCCTGGTGGTCCTTCCGTTTTACTGTCTTCTCCTGGATAACCCTGAAAAATCAGTCAAACTCAGAATCTAACACTATTCTTTCACTCTTTTTCACATATTTGCATACATTGCATAATAATTTAATACATATATTGAAGATGCAGGACAACCACCACCTAGCAGTGCATTACGAATATATGACATTTAGACTGAGATTGTCATTTAAAGATCAAAATATGTTGTATAACCTTTTCTCCCTTTGGTCCTGGGGGGCCTGCTGGACCTGGTTTGCCAGTGTGACCCTACGGTTAAAGAAAATAGAGAAGAAAGATAAAAAAAATAGATAATTTCCTTATCTAATCCAAAATAATATTATTTTGTGAATAGCTATAGACCAGCTAGGTTGAATAATCGGAATCTCAAAACTTTCAAACTTTAACTTTCAAAACTTTCTGCAAATGTGAGTGTGATTTTGTAAGCATTTATAAGTGCATATATTTGTATGCATGAAACTCACTGTGTAACCTTGAAGTCCCGGCTCTCCCTGAGGTCCCATAACTCCTGGTCGACCCTGAAATGTAATGAACAAAAAACACACACACGTAAGTTAGCTTGTGTTTTGTAGTGTACTCGTCGTACCTCAACAAATAACCTTCTAAAAATAACCTGAGTTTCCTGTGCTGAAAAACACATTATTGGATGGAGTCTTAAAAAATGACTCCTGCTGCTCATCCCATTATGGCTTCTTGGAAAACCATTTGCTTATGAAAACAAGACGCTAAATTTCCCTAACTACACTTGTTTTTACATTTCATTGATGCCGTTAAATCCTGAGGGAAAAGCAGGGGCAAAAAAAAAACAATCCCAGACATTTTCTCTGTTTATAAAATCCAGCCTAAAACTACCAAATCAGTAGGTGCTTAACTGCATTGTACAAGAAAAGCGGATTAGTCCCTAGTATCTCTAATGGCATTAGTGCAAATCCCATCAAAATGCTTTGGTTCAATTCCAAATCCCGCTAATGTTTACAAACGCCTTAACTGAGCCAGTAAAAGCAGTGAGTTTGAGGGTAAAATTCGTTCTCAGCATGTTAGCAAATTATCACGCTCTTGTCAGCTCATACAGAAATAATAGTTCATTTTTTAAATATCTAATTACTTTTACTAACAAAACTATCCACTAACATGTCTGAACCAATCACACATTTGTTCTGTAGTTGTGTGGCAAAAAAAGCAACAATTATTCACATAATACATTATTTTCTAGGGCACCCCTAGTGGTGCAATCATATGTAGCAGCATAATGTTGAAGTTGTGGGTTCAAGTTTCAGAATAGGCCCGAATTTCCCCTTGTTAACAAATTCAGTGCATCCATTTCTCTCATTCGGACTGTTTCGTTTGGCACTGCTATTGCAGTCGCTTTGTGATGGTGATGGTGAAGTTACTGCTTAATCGTCTTTGGGATTTGCACAGCCATTTCTCAACATTAAAAAGAGTGAAGGGATGCGTTAAAATAGAAAGCACACTAACTGCGGGTCCTCTGGTTCCACGAGCACCTTTGAGTCCTCTCTCCCCTGTCTGTCCGATTTCGCCCGGTGAGCCCATCTCTCCCAAGTGACCCGGCAACCCTTTTTCACCCTACCAAAAAGGAAGATGGAAATATCAAAGGGCAGGACTGGTTTAAATTGTTTACAAGCGAGAATGACAAGAAAAATGTGACTGTATTGTGAAAATACAGAGCAGAATGTGCCCCAAACAAGCCAAGGCGAAGAAGAGTACCACAGGGCTCTATTCTAGGTCCGTTTTATTTCTGACACAATACTGCAGATTGTAAAGACTTCTGTTTCCACCCTTGTGCTATTAAAATTAAATGGTCCCATATATTGTTTTAATGCAATTTAATTCAATTTAGTTGCCATCATTCTTTTTGCTTCACAAATTTTGGTTACCTTCTTTCCTGGACGTCCACGGTTGCCGGGCAGACCTTGTTTGCCCTCAGGTCCCTGATGAAGAAACGAATGCTTTAACTTCACATTGTCAGTACAAATTTCAGACAAAATACACTTGCATTATCTAAAGAGCTGTTTGGAGAGATTTTGTCCATTACACACAACTAAATGGCACAAATGCATTATATTAGATTCACTCCGTCACTCTTTCGTCACTCACCGGGAAGCCTTTTTCCCCAGGACTTCCAGGAGGTCCTAGTGGGCCAGAGTCACCAATCTCACCCCTTTCTCCGGCTTCTCCCATCGGTCCACGGTCGCCTGGCTCACCCTAGGAAGTAATAACAGAATAAAAACAAACCTTAAATGAGAATATTTTTTTCCCCCCAATTTTTTTTTGGTTTCGAAAAAATTCGCAGCAAACTGTTTTTACACAATTTGTGAACTGTTGATGCAGAATATACTGAAAAACAATTTAAAGATTTACTTCAATTTAAATCATTTAGACTCTGAAATTGCTAATAAATTTCACAAATAATTAAAAACGAACATTGAATTAAACATGCATTTTTGAAGTTGAAAGAAGTATTTTCTTGTAAAATGTACTCCAATAAACTTTGTTTTATTTAGTTATTTATATACATTTAATAAATCACTTTTTACAAGTATATTGATCAAACTTGCCAGAAAATGGTTTACAAGGCAGACAGGTTTGACAAGACAAGAACATTATGTATTTCTCATCATTCTCTAAAATAGATCAAATAGAAAATAAAATGCAAAAATAAAATAAAAAATGTAATAAAATGCTAAAATAGTAAATCTCAAAATCTCTTTGATCATTTTATTTTACTACGGGTAAAAAGGTTCAAGCATAAAAGAGTTCCTGTAGCCCAAATGATAAAAGCATGGCGCTAGCAACAACAGGGTCATGGGTTTGATTTGCAGGAAATGCATAATAATATGTATAAATGCAGTGCAAGTCATTTCGGATAAATGCATCAACCTAGATGTAAATGCAAGTAGAGAATTTAATCTGGAGTCTCACCTTTGGTCCATCCTTCCCTTGATGCCCGTCCTCTCCAGGTGGCCCTGGAGGACCCTAAAACAAACAGTAGCATGTTAGACCAGGGTTTAAATGCAGAAAAGCATCATGGGATTCATCCCACACACATCAGCTGAAACTGCTGCAGAAATGTGCTTATTTGTTTTTCCTATTAACCATTACAGCCATTTTTATTTGTATAAGCAAATCAACATATCTGATTGCAGTATTAGCAAGATTATGAATAAATATTTTACAGTCTGAATAACATTTATTTTTTCCCACAATGCAGTAATGGGAATGAATTTATGATTTATTTTGGGGTGAAATACGAGCCGGAAAAATGCACGAAAGGTTTCATGAGATTCACTCGGTTAGGACGCTGCTCCCGATGTCATAATATCCAATAACAAACACAGAGCATTGCTTGAATAATTGAACCAGGGACAAAGACGTTCAGTGTGTGTGAGCCTGAGGGTCCTTCTGTCAGATTATTGACACTGTTTGGCTCACATGAGTTAAAGCAATGAAAACACACTGATGGATCACGTTCACTTGGACATTTTGGAGCAGGAATGCGGTCGGTTCACTCACTCTGATGCCCGGTTGGCCCAGTTCACCCTCTTCTCCGACAGGCCCCATTTCACCCTGGAAAAAGACAGAAAGACACAGTTGCAAATGCCAACAGTTTTTGCTTTAATACTGTTATTATTGGAGCTTGTCAGTATAAATCATCCGTTTCCATTGTATTTAGTTGTAAACGGCAGCTTGGATATTCACTCTTCTCCGACAGGCCCCATTTCACCCTGGAAAAAGACAGAAAGACACAGTTGCAAATGCCAACAGTTCTTGCTTTAATACTGTTATTATTGGAGCTTGTCAGTATAAATCATCCATTTCCATTGTATTTAGTTGTAAATGGCAGCTTGGATATTCTGCTTAACGTCTCCTTTTGAGTTCCACAGCAAATCTAATTAATACGACATTAGAAAGATGGTCATTTTTGGATCTCTTTAAGTCTATAAAGCCTACTGTATCATATTTGATACGGAAAGGCCTCTAAATGATCAACACGATTGAAACATTGCTGAAAAACCTGTTGCACAATCTACTCCATGCCTTCTGTCATCTGATTTATAGAGTTTTTTTTATCCAGTAAAAGCTTGTTTAGTGTAATTGCACAAACGTGATTTAGATCTTGAGTGATTTTGATCAAGTAATCGTCAGAATAACGTCAGTAATATCTCCAGATGAACACTTACTGCACTGAAGCAGCTCAGCTTTACTTGATTCTCCATCAATCATGTTTTAGAGTCTCAAATCTGATCCTCAGGATCTTTTGAGGAGCGTTTGTTTCCAGAAGCTTTACTTTCACTGTTCCTCAGCGGAGGCTCCAGAACATCTCACATCTTCTGAGGAGCCTTTATTTCTTCATTTGATATATTATTGGAGATATAGAGTGACGACTGATATTTATATAATTTTATGTCTGTATCTGCTGTACTGTTAGAGAGATCTCACTGATTTACAGTATAAGCATCAGAATTTCATCTTACTTTTGGCCATATAAATATCAACATCTGCACCAAATTGCATATACCTCCAGAACATCTCACATCTTCTGAGGAGCCTTTATTTCTTCATTTGATATATTATTGGAGATATTATTGCTCAGTTTGAGCCTCTGAATAAAATTTAGCTGTTTTTCTCTTCATATTCTCACTCTATCAGACTATGTGTCGTAAAAGCCTGATGCATCAAATATGATACTCAACAAAAACCACATATGCAAACTTAATTTTAAAATTTTAATCTAATGTTTCAATCATCTGTTCCATTTCAGTTGCCATTTCTGACTATTATTACATGTCAGGCTTTACAGGGTTAAGAGTTTTGCCTCACCTTGATCCCAGGTTCACCCACAGGTCCCTGCTCTCCTTCAGGTCCTGGAGGTCCCTGTGCATGCACAAAAGAGGGAAAAACACCAGCAAACAAGAAGTCAAAATAACACAAACATACTCATATATCAGATCCTAAACACAGAAATGAAGCCAAATTAAATAACATGCAACATAATTAATTTACTAAATGATTAAAATGTGCAATTATTAACGGTTCTGCAGTGCACCGTGTGTTTTTACACTCCTTAGGGTGCCTGTAATCTATATGGACTTCAACAGTATTACGTAACTCGGCACTGTAAATAATTATCCCTCATTTAATTTGCATGTTATTGCATAATTGAGCACAGAAGAAATCCATTACACACAAAAATTCAGTTTTTTTTCAGGAAGTACCTCGTGACCTTGCTCTCCATCTGGTCCCGGGTCCCCTGGGGGGCCTCTGGAGCCCTTAAAATAATCAAATAAATATGATGTAAATATGAAATCATGCACAATTCCCCCCAAAACATAAGCAGTCTTGTTTTGATATTATAAATTAAATTTACATGACTCGCCCTTGGCGCTGGATGTGAAAGGATCTTACGATTACGCCTAACTAGAGGTGAACTTCACCTTGCATGTTTTAATGCACATGTGAACAGCATAAAAGTGAGTGTCCATATGTTGATGCATGTTTCTATGTGCACATAATCACGTCTCAACATGAGGACATTCAGATGCACACGGGATCAAAGACTGGAAACATGAACCCGTTCCAGAGGCGCTGTTAAACATCTTTCATCTGCTTACAGAACGGCTGATTACATGTTTAGATGTAAAGACACAAAACCCTGGCACTCAACGCAGGAAATGTCTCACAAACCCTCGGAGGTCTTCACATCATGACTTACATGTGTTACACAGGAAAGATGCATCAACGAGTCACGTCATGCATGCTTGCTGAGACTATATACCGCACATTTCAGGTTGTTATTTTCTAAACAAAAATTATTTTCTATTAAAAATCGTTTTTGTTAATTGGAATAAAGCTGAAATAAAATAAAATATAAATATTAGATGAAATTATTCTCTTTAAAAAACTTTTACAAAACACTTAAACTAAAAAAAAATAAATAAACTGAAAATATATAAATTATTAAATTATTATACACACACACACACACACACACACACACACTATAATAGTATATTGTGCTATATATATAGCAGCACACTATATGTGCTGCTATAAAGCTGTACCATGCATAATAAGGATTTTAAATGTAATTTTCTATATAAGAACATTTTATTTTGTGTTGTAATACTCACAGGTTCACCTGGAGGACCTTTTTCACCTGTGCTGCCGGTGGGTTTCCACGGACGTCCATTAAAATCTAGCAGGCAATACAATTTCAAGTAAAATGTTAAATAGTAATATTAAAATACTATAAAATTATTGACAGTTTATCAGCATGTTTTACCAGACTTTATGCTGATGGTCAAATATGGCTATATATACAGTATATGTGTAGACTTTTCAAAAAGTTATTGATGAGGTTTAATTTTTCATAGGTCTTCTGATACTCTTATTGAAAATAACATAATTTGTAACAATGTTATAATCATATTCTGTTTTGATAGTGTTAGATATTTTGGATAAATAAGTAGCAGCTAGTTGCAAAGTGGTGGATGATGGGAGAGAGAAACAGGAGGCGACAACATTTGATGGGTGAGAGAACACACACACACACACACACACACACAGGTTTGTTTTTGTGAATTGTGGGGACATTCCATAGGTGTAATGATTTTTATACTGTACAAACCGTATTTTCTATCGTCCTACACCAACCCTACACCTAAACCTACCAATTACAGTAAACTTTCTGCATTTTTAGATAAAAAAAAAAACTAATTCTGAATAATATATAAGACTTTTGAAATATGGGGACACTCAAGATGTCCTCATAAATTACCTTCTCGTTGTAATACCTATGTCATACCCATGTCATTATACAAATTTGTGTCCTCATAAATCACACACACGCACACACGCACACACACACACACCTGGTTTACTATCCTTGTGGGGACTCTCCATAGATGTAATGGTTTTTATACTGTACCCACCGTATATTCTATCACCCTACTCAACCCTACACCGAAACCTACCCCTAGCTTTCTGCCTTCTTACATTCTCAAAAAAAAAGAAGAAGCTAATTCTGTACGATTTATAAGCTTGTTTTCCCATGGGGACCTCAATTTAGGTCCCCACAGTGACACGAGTCCCCATGAGTCGGTATGTCAGGTTTAAGTCCCCACTGGAATAGAAAAAAAACATGCACACACACACACACACACACACACAGACAGACCCCAATTATATGTGATTAATATACATGTTTAGACTTCATGAAGTCTAAACATGAAAAAAACGTCCCATAGAACAGAAACATCACAAATGAGATCTCTAATAATGTCAGTGATTTTCTTAGATGACAATGAGAATAAATATATTGCAAATGTCTCCTGTGTCTCAGATGTTTCTCCTGGGAAAAAAAGCCAAGTACACGGTTAATTTAGTTCACTAAAACTTAAACCATAAAAAAATGTTACTTGAAATAAAATAAACGTTAACTGAGATAAAATAAAATAAACACTTTTTTTCAGTTAGTTGCCAAATCAACATGTCTCATTTTCTTTTAACTTGATGTACTAAAATTAAAACGGAATTAAAAATGAATAAAAACTATTTAAAAAAAAATTATAAAAATGACAAAACACTCAACAAAATGACAAACAATTTAACTAAAATTAAAATGAAAGGGGAAAATACAAAAATGTTATCAAATTCCAAATATTAAAATTTATAAAATATAATATTATATATATAAAACTCCTCTAGAGTTTCAGAGATCCTAAATGTCTCAAACTGTGCTCAAATTTCTCGTTAAATGATCTGAGCTGCTTTCCACGTTCATTGTACAGCTCTAAACTTGTACATGACAACTAGTGACCCGTTTGTGTGTTTTTAAGGAATTTTAGGACAAACATCCGAGACAAAAGTGATACGTGAATGAAATCTACTGTAAATGAGCTGCGAAAGAGCAAAACACAGATATAATAACACAAGTCACAAGCTATTGTTCAAACACACACAGAAATCACTGGTGATTTGTTAAACACATATTTTACACATCTGATTTTGTTGTAAAGCGTAGCTGCTTTACAGAATGGAAACGTCTGAGTTTGAGTGTGTTTCTATGATGAGATGTACGCTAACAGGGACCCACAGCCTTTCTGCTCTTATTTTCCTCTGTTTTTCTTTCCGTCTTTATCAGACGCTGCTACGCTGAGAAACATGAACCGCTGGCTTTAACATGCACCTGTGTTATCAGAGCAGTTCTCAGTGAGATCTCACTGTTCCCACAACAGAGACGCAGTTTCCATGACTGCTCAAACCAACACACCGCTTTAATAACATCAACAGCCCATTTTTATCACCACATTCATCAAAAGTGCACTTCATTTTCCAGCAGTAAATATAACTTATGCAAAGATGCATTAATAACAGTCATAAACGCTTCCATATGTGACCCTCTCAACTATACCGTCGCTTCATATTCAAGGAAATAAAGTCACGATAAATCCACTCAGGGATAATAATTGGCTAGCTTTAAAGATGATGATGATGAACACACTGTATTAGATTGTGAGTTTCCAGATCAGTCACTTATAAGGTTTCATGACAGTTCAGATGTTGCCTTAGAAGGCAGCTGACTATGTAGGCAGCAGACAGCAAACAAGGTACTTTAGGCAACATATTTAAGCATTTTAATATGATTATTTTAATTATTTTGAATATTAAAATATAATAGTATTTATTTAAACAAAAATAATATTTTTGGCAACACATTTTACAATTTTAATACGATTATTTTAATAATGTTAAATAAAATAAAAGTATTTATTTAAATAAAAAAGTTTTTTTGGCGACATATTTTACTATTTAAATACAACTGTTTTAACACTTTTTTATATTAAAATCAAATAATAGTATTTATTTAAAAGAAAGATATTTTGGCAACATTTTTTACTATTTTTGTACAACTATTTTATTACCGTTGAGTATAAAAAAATAGTATTTATTTAAATATAAATCATACTATTTTTGGCAACATATTTTAATATTTTATTACAATTGTTTTAATATCTTTGAGTATTAAAAATAGTATTTTAAGCAAAATAATATTGGCAACACATTTCACTATTTTCATGTCATTATTTTAATATTTTTGAGTATAAAAATAAATGAATACTATTTATTTAAATAAAAGAAAAATCATTTTTGGCAACATATTTGACTATTTTAATACAATTATTTAAATAGTTTTGATTATTAAAATAACAGTATTTATTTAAACAAAAGAAAAATCATTTTGGCAACATTTTGACCATTTTAATATGAATAATAGGATTGATTTCAACAACAATAATCATATTTTTGGCAACATATTTTAAAAATTGTATTTGATTATTTTAATACCTTTGAGTATTAAAAGAATGCAATAGTATTTATTTAAGTAAAAATATAATTTTTTGGCAACATATTTTGCTTAGATTTATTATTATAATTTTTTTAATCCAATATAACACCATACCAGCATAAGATTTCTGAAGATCATGTGACCCTGAAGACTGGAGTAATGACGCTGAAAATTCATGTTTGATCACAGCAATAAATTACACTTTACAATACATTAAAATAGAATACAGTTACTTTGGATTTTAATAATTTTTCACAATTTTACTGCATTTTTGATCAAATAAATGCAGCTTTGGTAAGCAGAAGGAACTTCTTTTAGAAACATTCAAAAATCGTACAGACCGTTTGACGTTTGAATGCTAGTGTATATTTTGCTGTTGAATGTGCCGCTAACAGTCTGTCAACATTCACCAATCATGGCTGACAGTATTTGCATATCCTAGTGCTCTGATTCACTATTATTCACTATTATCAGTGAGGTGTATCACTGGATCACATCATCACCCATCTGCAGCATTAAAGCAGTGTTTATCTGTTCACAGGAAGCCTGCGGTTTAAACATCATAAATCATCTGAGTTATGAATGAAGCCGCAGCACTTTAATGAGTCTGTGAAACACCGAACTGCACAGATGCCAAAACTTCACGTTCACCATCAGGCACTAGAGGATGCTGTGAGCTCGAGAGCATTAAAACCCCTCAGGCTTCAACAGGCGAGTGTGAACAGTAAACGCTTCGACACACACCTCACACACACATCCTGACAGCAAACACACTCCTGCTTTATCACAGGAAAGACACAGCTGCTTTATATGTGATAAATAGGGATGGGAATCATAAGGAGGCTCCACTTTAAAAATCTGGTTCCTTAACAATTATTTCAATAATTTTGATCATTAAAAAAAAAAAAAAGTATTTTTGACAACATATTTTACTATTTTAGTCAGATTGTTTAAATGCCTGAATATAAAATAAAATAATGCAATTTATTTAAACAAAAATAATAGCATTTTTGGCAACCTACTATATTTTAATATGATTATTTTAATACTTTTGAGTATTAAGAGAAAATAGTATTCAATAAATAGGTTTTTTAAATAGTATTTTTCGCAACACATTTGACTATTTTAATATTATTATTTTAATATTTGTGAGTGTTAAAAGAAAACAAAAATAATATTATTTTTGGCAACATAGTTTAATACAACTATTTTAATACTTTTGAGTATTAAAAGAAAATTACACTATTTATTTAAACAAAAATAATTTAATTTTTGGCAACATATTTTACTATTTTATTATGATTATTTTAAAACATTTGAGCACTCAAATAAAATAATAGTATTTATTTAAACAAAAATAATAACATTTTTAGCAACACACTGTATTTTAATATAATTATTTCAATACTTTTGAGTATTAAAAGAAAATAGTATTCAATAAATAGGTTTTTTTTAAAAGAGTATTTTAAATTAATAATATTTATTTAAACAAAAATAACTGTATTTTTGGCAACATACTGTTCTATTTTAATGACATTAGTTTGATACTTTTGAGTTTGAAATAAAGATTCTCACAATAGTTAGAATGAGACTTACAGGCGCTCCTGCTGCTCCTCTCTTCCCTGGAGCTCCAGCTTTACCCTACAAACAAACACAAACACAAACACACGTCAAAGAGTTCAACTGAAGCTCACTCACCTCCTCTGAACCACAATGAGCTCAAACCTGTCTGCGGTTTAAATCTACATGATGTGTGGTTTGAGATGAAGCTCTATAGATCCACAGTGCAGTGAATCAGACCAAATTTTTGGATCCAACCTCGTTTTAACAACTAAAGAATGATGGAGCTCATGAGAATATATATATATATATACATGATGTGTGGTTTGAGATGAAGCTCTATAGATCCACAGTGCAGTGAATCAGACCAAATTTTTGGATCCAACCTCGTTTTAAGAATGATAGAATGATGGAGCTCATGAGAATATATATATATATATATATATATATATATATATATATATATATATATATATATATATAGTATTAGTTATTATTAATTTATATATATAAATGACTAATATATGTTAGTATTAGTAATTTTAGTTCAACTTATTTAAGTTTTTAGTAATTTTGCTATATGCGTTGTCATTTTTATTGTATTTTTTTAAACATTTCTATTTATTGTCTTTTTTTATTTAGTTTTAGTAATTGTAGTATTTCAAATTAATTACTTATATTATTTCAGTTAGTTGCCAAGGCAACATTTCTCTTTTTTAAAAGTTTTTCCATCACATATTTAGATTTTCTTTCAGCTTAATTTCAGTTACCAAAAAATATTTTTATTAGCTTTATTTTTGGTTAATAATAACAACAGTATGTCCTCGTGTGTCTATGTGTTTCACTTTCCAATCTGCAGAAACACACGTTTATATAGCTCATCTAACTGAGGACATATCAAATACGACGATTGTTTGTATATAAAGATGACTTCTGATTACAAACCCTAAAAATGCGCATTATTTTAAGTGTGAATAGTTTTTCCATATGAAGACGCCCCAAATGAAGATTTTGTCAAACTCTTCTAACTTCTGGGGACAATTTGATCTAAATGTTAAAATTAGATTTTCAAGTGTTTAGAGTTGCTTACGATGAATCCCGGAGGTCCATTGTTCCCTGGCGATCCCTTTTCACCCTGAAAAACAACAGCAGTTGAGCTGTCAAGCATGTGTGACGTGTGTCTGCAGTAGCTCTGTAATGCAAATCGCAATGCAATTGTTTTGGGTTTTGTAGTGGTGTGAAAGGCACCATGAAAGTGCAGTTTTCTATCATGTGTGATCTGTTTCCTCTTGAAACAGGAAGTTGGTGTACAACACAGGGACATTAATGATTACAATTTTTTCCCAGATTGTCTATGTTTGTATATGTTTTTGGTCTGTAGCGATGCTGGTACCTTTATGCCCTCAGGGCCCAGCTCTCCTGGAGGACCGTCAGGTCCCCTCGGGCCCTAAAAGACAAAAACACAACAGGTGAATGGGGTAAAAAATTAACTAATAGATATCACCATACTTACCAGTTGATTGATTACATTAAGAATTGGTGGAAAATATTGTGTATTAGAAGTTTTCTAAAGTGTTATGTTTAAATGTTCAAATGATGCATGATCAAATTGAATATGCACTAACTTTCAGAAAATTCCAGAAGATAAATCTGAACATTTGATTAAGCCAGATTCAAAATTCTTGTTTGATTTTGTTGACATATTAGAGTTAAAAGATTTTATAGAGGGGATTTTGGGTATCACTTTTTATCACTTCATAAATCAGAAAATACTGTCAACAGCCAGAAAAAATACATTTTCACCATGTTTTTTGGAATAAACTGTTGTATAAAACCATGTGAGTGATATATGAACAAACCCCTCAGTAAAAACCTTCAGAATATAGAGAGGAATAAAACTGCTAAGTTTGGTGTTTGTAAGTGCTGCTGAAGTGGAGGAAAATCTTTTAAAGATATGGATTGTAATTGAAATCTACAAATGCAAATGGTTAACGTGCAATAAAATAAACCTGAAAGTATATTTTGGATGTTTTCTTTCCACTAGTCTGAAACAACATGTTATGAAAAGACAAATAGCTCAAAATCTATTAGATTTATTACATCAAGTTCATCCTCATAAACAGTCCAGCTGGGTGAGACGCCACATGCCGGACCAAACACACAGAGAATCAAGTACAAGCCAAACTAAACCAAAACAGAGAGGATCTGTTACACAAACTAGTGTGCTGCCTCGCTGTCTGTTGTCTTCTGTCTACATAGGCACACTAATCGAGATGCAACCTCATTAGTGACCACTGTGGAACACACTATCTTTACACGTGTAATGATGTCCAGTGACTTGTTTGCATTATTTATGCATTATTTTATTTATTTGTAAGACTTTTTTATGACTAAATTTGGTAATGGGAGAGTAAAAATATTTTTAAAACGTACACCGTTCAAACTAGGCTGCTTATGTTGAAGTGTTTGGGATGTGGCTTTTAATGATGAGACCTTTTTTGTAATCAGGCTCTCAAAAAGTATATAACAATTTGGATATAGATTTATCGGCCAACATATCGGTTATCGGCTTTCAAAAATAAAGAGTAATCGGTTATCGGTATCGGCCAAAATTTTCATATCGGTGCATCCCTAATATAGACCACTGAAGCTCACAAGAGATGAAACTCACCATGGATTGTAATAGTTTGGTGTTAGGTTGTTACTAATATGTGATATGTATTAGCATTAGTTAGGGCTGTAATTGTGAACTAAAACTAAAACTATTAAAAATAATTTTCATTAATTGACAAAGTAAAATAAATTGACAAAATAAAATATAAAATATGAATTATAAAATAAAAAAAAATATATATTAGAAAATGTATTAAGTTTATTATATTAAACATATCATCAAAATGTACAGTAACGTAAACTTAGAGAATGTTGCATTGGCAACAAAAACGAATAAACATGATGGAAGCACATAACAAAACTTAAAGATTAAACAAAAATTAAAATTAAAACTAAAAATATAAAAATAAGAGCCAATTCAAAATATTAATAAATCCTACAATAGTATATAAATAATAGTAAGAAACACAAATATCACATATCAATAATAAATATTACAAAATGTCTCTCATTTTGTCCACAATCTTGGACTGAGCTTGATGCAGTGCATTTTCAGATTGCCATGCAATGCTGCTTTAGAATTTAATAAAAATAAGGGATCTTAAAAGGCACTATAATGTATTGAACAGCCGCTGCATTTGCATTTCCTAGGTTTTGGAGCAGAAGCACAGAGCCAAAGAGTCTCGTCTGTTGACTTTGGGTTCATGAACGGAGACTCTCAGGATGTGTAAGCGATCTATCTGTCATGTTTTCACAAGGGGGTTTTAAGTCGCCTATTCTCACCATCATTAAAATGAGATCTGCACTGTTTTATATAAACAGAACGGAGGGGAACGTTCTCTTAATTGCAGAGTTTGGCGTGAACCTCAAACCTCTTTTCATCAGCTTCTGTGGCCTCTGACTGACTTCATCCTGTGTCATTAGGACTCACGTCAAACATGCTCTTTCTCTTCCCATTTATTATGTTAGTTAAGGTTCCTGCAAGTAATTGAGTTTACCTTAAACATTTACCCTCACATTGACCTGTTATTAATTAAACCGGCTGTTTTTGCTACTGTACTTTTAAGACAGTTACCCTCTTTGTTACATACATTAGACATTTTAAACGTTCAAAAAAATTACTGTTTTTCTGCCAGTTTTAATCAGAAAAAAAGTAATTCAGAATATAAATAATATAAATAAAAATATAAAAATGAATATAAACATAAATATGAATGAAATTTCCCAACGAAGCCTAGAAGCTAAAAAGTCCAAATAATCCAGAAATCATTGCACATATTAAACTGGAAATTAAATATTTAAAAATATATAATTTTCATTTAGTTTAAGTACCAAAATAACTACATTAACTAAAACTAAACACCCACTTTGTAGTAACTCCAAGTAACACATTGAATTAAACATGACATTTTGAAGAAAAACTGGTGGGGTTTTTTTTACAGACATGTTTATATATATAAAAAAAGCTAATAAAAATAACAAAAACACAACAATTAAAAGAAATACTAAAATTAAAATGCAGAAATGCAGAGTATAGTAGTGCAAAAATGATAATACAATTAATTATAAATATATGTATATTTTTAAATGGATTCAGATGAATTAGCCACTCAATTAAGTGTGTAATAACGACTATTAGTGGTGATTGGCGATGGTCAGGCGTATACATATATCATATTCTGTTTGACCACTAGAGGTCCCTGTGGTTTATCTATAAACATGATTCGCTCGGTCAGCAAAACACTAAAAACAGAGAGAGAGCTGAATGCATTACACTTAAGCATTTTTAGGATTATTAATGCATTGTTACATTATATTCAATAATAAATTGTCATAAAAATACAGCCATAAAGCAACAAAATATTAATGGTCTTAAAAAAAATACTTAATGTTCTTGATATTATAAAAAAATAAATGATATAAAATTATGATTTCTTCTGTGTCTTATAAATCTGAGTTGAAATACCTGGTTATTTCTTGGTAATAATCACCCAAATCTGCTGTCAATCAAAGGTTTCCACCAATCAAATCTTCCTACTCCTGTTCCGATTTCAGTTTGCTTAGTTCCAGTTGCATCGACATCATTAGCTACACAAGAAAAGCATGCATTTCTTTCACTTTTCATCTTACCCTTCGCCCTTTCGGCCCGGGAAGGCCTGCTGCTCCTCTCGGCCCTTGTGGACCCTTGAGAAAAAGAGACGGACAGAAAGAGACAAAGTAAAATTTCAACTTTCAAGTGGAAAGATACTCTCAACCTCAATCTTTCACCCCAAAATTTGCATCTAAAAACCGCAGAGGATCATGGGTAAACTTACTGGTGGACCTTGTGGGCCGAAATCCCCAGGACCTCCTGGAAGACCCAGATACCCCTTAAACAGACAAAGAGCACACGGTTAACACAATAAACCTACTGACCAGTGACCACCAACTAACTAGTGAACAGATTCGGATTGGACTAGCTCGGTTTTCTAAATGATTTATACAGAAATCTGTTCTACTCGTGTTGACAAATGATTTACGCACGTTTTGCATCACGCAACAATTTACATACAAGAAACGATTAGCTCTTCTGGAGCTTCACGAAAGAAACTATTAATGATGTTCTTCCTCAGTATTTTTGTCTTGTTTTTCTGTACACATGTCTAAACACTCTTATACTGTGTATGCTTGAGTAGAATTATGTATTATTTGAAAAATGTAAAGAATTGAGAATGCTTTTAAAGGTGACATATCATGAAAATGTTAAGTGCTATAATCAGGTCCCCGGTGCATCTACCAACCAAGGAAACATGAAAAAGATTAACCCAGTAACTTTGTTTTGGGAAGCCTTTTTCTGCAAGTGTCTGAGAAAACCAGCGCGTCTGATTTCGCTCTCACAACAGAGCAGTGGATTTATTGATGTATTTACTGTATATTGCTGCTGCCACACAGATCTAAAATAAACATGTGATTTATTTCCAAGTTGTTTACCTTCACAGACATAACCCACTGTTTTTGTAACTCGTGTGTTTTTAATGTAAACTTGTGTGTGAATGAGAACTTAGTTTAGTACTCACATGCTGTGACAGCCGCTTTCTGTGCGTGTGCTTCGGATGTGTGCGCTCAGAAAACCATATATCAGAAGTTTAAACTCATATGCTTTAAAAAGCATTATTTCAGCGTGATAAACATGATAATCAGAACCAAAACAGATGTTTTTAGCAGGTCTGAGCTGTAAAGGCGCAGCTCTTTTCTGGAAAAGGGGGCGGGGAGCAGCATCTCATTTGCATTTAAAGAGACCGGCCCGAAAAACCCGTGTTTCTGCTTCCACTCAAAATAGGCATTTTCAAAATGATATGGACACCAGAGACTTATATTACATATTGTAAAAAGGGGGATAATATGTCTCCTTTAATATATTTAAATTAAATTAAATAAACCATTCAAAAGTTTGGGGTCAGTAAGATTTTAGTTTTTAAAGAAATTACTACTGTTATTCAGAATTCAAAGATTTAAGAATTATTTTAATAATAAAAAAAAAAAAATGCATCAAAATTAAGTGACTTTACACCTAAAACAAGAGAAAATATCTGCCAGTGAGGTCAGAAAAATGTATATATTTTTTACTTTAAATTAAGTTGATTTTTCTGACCCCATTGGCAGATATTTTTTCTTGTTTTAAGCATAAACACACTTCATTTTGATCTTTTTTTCTTCTTCAGAAAATAGGACTTAAAATCTTATGTTATTTTGCTTCTCAAGTAAATGTATCTTGATTTAAGAATGTTTAGATATTTTTACTGGAAAACAAGACAATAATACTGAGTAAGAAGATCTTTTTTGCAGTGCAATGCATTTTAATTTATGTTTGTTAATGTGAAATAAGCTCTTACTGTTGAACCTTTCTCTCCTGGAGGACCCAAAGGACCAGGAGGACCTCGATCGCCCTGAACACACACAATTCAAACACAAAAACAATCACGTTTTCAGATCGATTCCAATCTAAAATCAGGTTTCACTGTACACCGTCATGTTTCATAAAGAGATTTTCTGTTGATCATGACACTTGTGTGGTTTAAGATACAGACTCTGTCTCGGTTTTTACCTTTTCTCCAGGTTGTCCGATCACTCCGGTTATTCCAATCAGTCCCGCCGGACCCTGAACAACACAGAGAACAAGAGCTGGTTAAACACACACACACACACACACACTCTCTCTCTCCCTCTCTCACACACACACACACACACACACTCTCTCTCTCTCTCTCTCTCACACACACACACACACACACACACACACTGTGTGTGAAATATTTACTTATTTACCATACTGAGCTTTTAAGACCTCTCATAGCTATCAATTCATGTTTTTTAAACTGCAATGTGAACCAATGACATCAAACAAGTAACAACACATATAAAGATGACATTTTGTAATTAAATACAAGTGCAATTGAGATTTGCATCATATGACTTCAGAGGACTTGAAAAATATAAGTCTGACGGATGAATGTCTGGATGCTTTTATGGTATTTTGGCATTTTTTGAGAGTGACAGTTTAAATGAACTGAAAGATAGAAAGTAAATAATACATGAGGGTGAGTAAATGACGACTGAATTCTCCTTTCCAGGTGAACTGTCTCTTTAAGACTGTCCTGCATCTTCACACACTGACTATAATGATCTGTAATGATTCCACAGCGGGACATTTACTAACGTGCTAAACTGCTCACGTCCATCTTGTTGTTAACAAATCGATGTATTATGACAGTACGGATGAAATAAAGCTCTGTTTCCACATTGAGTTCACTAAACACAATGAACTCAATGTGCATTCACACTCCCAGCACTCATTAATCATCACAGACGTGGAAAGTCACACTCCTGTACAGGATTTTCCATCGTTTCCATGTAAGTTGGTACAGTACAAGTGGGTTTTTGGGACGATTCCCAGCATGCACCATCAGCCCTGGGGAACTTTCCGAAGGGTTCGACGTTCCTCTGACAGATCATTTGTCACAGAACAATCATTACATCAGATATCTTTGGCTCGTCTGAGCTTCAGCTCCTACAAACTTTTCCATGTCAATGTTTCACGCAGATCGTTCTCTATTTTCAATTTCCAAAACAAAGAAAATTATTGTAAAGTTTGAAGGCAAAATAATGACTTTAAGTGTTAATAAATTGCTCAAGATTAATTAGTAATATACATTATAGTTAAAAATGTTGAGGTCTGTACATTTTTGAATGTTTTTGATGTCTCTTCTGCTCACCAAGGCTGCATTTATTTGATTAAAAATACAGTAAAACATTTCGAAATATTATTACAATTTAAAATAACTGTTTATTGTAAAATATAATTGATTTCTGTGATGCAAAGCTGAATTTTCAGCAGCCATTACACAAGTCTTCAGTGTCACATTCTAATGACTTATTATTATTATCAATGTTGAAAACAGTTTTTGCTGCTTCATATTTATGTGGATTTTTTGATGAACAGAAAGTTCAAAAGAACAGCATTTATTTGAAATAGAAATATTTTGTAATATTATAAATGTCTAACTCTCTCTCACACACACACACACACACACACTCTCTCTCTCTCTCTCTCTCACACACACACACACACACACACACACACTGTGTGTGAAATATTTACTTATTTACCATACTGAGCTTTTAAGACCTCTCATAGCTATCAATTCATGTTTTTTAAACTGCAATGTGAACCAATGACATCAAACAAGTAACAACACATATAAAGATGACATTTTGTAATTAAATACAAGTGCAATTGAGATTTGCATCATATGACTTCAGAGGACTTGAAAAATATAAGTCTGACGGATGAATGTCTGGATGCTTTTATGGTATTTTGGCATTTTTTGAGAGTGACAGTTTAAATGAACTGAAAGATAGAAAGTAAATAATACATGAGGGTGAGTAAATGACGACTGAATTCTCCTTTCCAGGTGAACTGTCTCTTTAAGACTGTCCTGCATCTTCACACACTGACTATAATGATCTGTAATGATTCCACAGCGGGACATTTACTAACGTGCTAAACTGCTCACGTCCATCTTGTTGTTAACAAATCGATGTATTATGACAGTACGGATGAAATAAAGCTCTGTTTCCACATTGAGTTCACTAAACACAATGAACTCAATGTGCATTCACACTCCCAGCACTCATTAATCATCACAGACGTGGAAAGTCACACTCCTGTACAGGATTTTCCATCGTTTCCATGTAAGTTGGTACAGTACAAGTGGGTTTTTGGGACGATTCCCAGCATGCACCATCAGCCCTGGGGAACTTTCCGAAGGGTTCGACGTTCCTCTGACAGATCATTTGTCACAGAACAATCATTACATCAGATATCTTTGGCTCGTCTGAGCTTCAGCTCCTACAAACTTTTCCATGTCAATGTTTCACGCAGATCGTTCTCTATTTTCAATTTCCAAAACAAAGAAAATTATTGTAAAGTTTGAAGGCAAAATAATGACTTTAAGTGTTAATAAATTGCTCAAGATTAATTAGTAATATACATTATAGTTAAAAATGTTGAGGTCTGTACATTTTTGAATGTTTTTGATGTCTCTTCTGCTCACCAAGGCTGCATTTATTTGATTAAAAATACAGTAAAACATTTCGAAATATTATTACAATTTAAAATAACTGTTTATTGTAAAATATAATTGATTTCTGTGATGCAAAGCTGAATTTTCAGCAGCCATTACACAAGTCTTCAGTGTCACATTCTAATGACTTATTATTATTATCAATGTTGAAAACAGTTTTTGCTGCTTCATATTTATGTGGATTTTTTGATGAACAGAAAGTTCAAAAGAACAGCATTTATTTGAAATAGAAATATTTTGTAATATTATAAATGTCTAAAAATATTAATTATGAATAAAAGTATTAATTTGTTTCAGACAGATAGATAGACTTTGCCGTCTACAAAAAATTGCAAAATAAATAGCAGGGGGAAAATAAAATTTAAATTTATATATGAATTTTGGAAAATACTTATATATTCTAGCATTTATATATTCATTTAAATTTAAACATACAGAAGAAAAGAAATATCATTTTTTGTGTATTTATATATATATATATATATATATATATATATGTGTATGAGTGTGTGTGTGTGTGTGTGTGAAAAAACACCAGCAATCTCACGTCTCCTCTAGAGTTACAAAAGAGATAAAAAAATTGTCAAATTCGCAAAGATGCCAAAATCTGCAATCAAAAACTAATTTCTCATCAAACTCCTCTAAGATTAAATGACCTGAGCTGCTGTCCATGTTCATTTTATATCTCTAAACATCTGAGACCGAGAACATGGACATATTATATAAGAAACTATGAGGGGATTCTAGAGAACTGAGAAATAAAACAACAAGCTTTCTGAAAGCATGCCAGACATCACAGATGTTCTTCAGGAAAGACACCAAGTGCACGCTGGGATTGATGAGGCTTTCCATATTTCCCTGGAAGAGCCGAGCGACGGCCAGCAGTACATAGATCTGCTGTAACAGTCACTACATCAAAACGTGTCATCGAAACCTCAGAGGACAGATATTTTGCAGCTAAAAGCACTCCAGATATGTCAAAAGCCACATTAAAGCATCTACATCATCCAGCAGCTACTTTTCGATTATAACCGAAATGATTCTGTTATTGTGAGTCCTCCGAGAAAATGCCTGCTGAATGATTTTAGTGTGATATCAATCCTAACGCCAACTGAAACCCATGTTCAGATGCCGTCTAGTGGATGAAGATGAAGCTACAAGAAATGAAAGCGACTCCAGCCTGTATCACACTTAAAAATAGGCAACAATTATGTCACAAAATAGAAACGCATTTCAAAAACTGAATGTTTGCTCACACAGCGTTAGATCCTCACAACACATCTCTGATTTTACAAGAGCATAAACAAACACACAACACGAAAACAAACACGTTTGCTCAATGAAACTTCACAACTGTGAAACGGAAAACTGCAAGTAATTCAACAAAAAACAACGTAACTAAGAGTTCAGTCAGAGTAACAAATTTGTTTACAAAAAAGCACGGATGGACAGACAGACAGATGGACGGACGGACGGACGGACGGACGGACGGATGGATGATAGATGGACAGACAGACAGACAGACAGACAGACAGACAGATAGACAGATAGATAGATAGATAGATAGATAGATAGATATATGATAGATACATTATAGATGATAGATAGATAGATAGATAGATAGATAGATAGATAGACAGACAGACAGACAGAGAGACATATATATATATAGACAGAGAGACAGATATATAGACAGACAGACAGACAGACAGACAGACAGA